TAAGCAAACGGAGGGTCTTACTGAGCGTCGTGAGCCTGCGTCGCTTCCTGTCTCGCCTATCGGACCTGGTCGTTCCGGTAGTCGTATTCCTCGTTCGCGTTAGCCGGCTGTCACTGGCACCCACCTCGTAGTCTGTCGTCCTTCCTCTGCTCCTCAGCGTATTCCCCTGCCGTCCCCTCTTGTGTCTTCTCTACCTTGCGTTCCTGAGCTTGAGTCTGACCGCACCCGTGCTGCTCACCCTACTGTCACGCGCCTGCTCGCCACAGTTGTCACTGACCCGTCGTTTGAGTCTGCTGCTGCGTCTCCCTTAGTCGCTGAGCTTGTTGACTTTGCTGCCTGTTGTCTAGACTACGCCGCTGGTCTGGTTGCTGAGTCTGAGATTGTCTGTCCTCCGTCCGTCGGGGGTGAGTCTGCTGTTGGCATGGACGTCCTTGAGGACAGGCAAGAGGACCTTGAGTGTCATGTAGCCGCTGCGCCTCATCTCGTGTCCATGCTACTTGCCCTTGAGGGAGACCTGGATGCTCCAGACATCCCGACCCCGCGCTCTTACGCTGAAGCGATCGCGGGTGAGTACTCCTCTGAGTGGGAGACAGCCAAGGACGCAGAGATGGCATCCTGGAAGTCCACAGGCACCTACGTTGACGAGGTTCCCCCTCTTGGGGCGAACATCGTCAGTGGCATGTGGATTTTAAGGGTGAAGCGGCCGCCAGGTTCTCCGCCTATGTTCAAGGCTCATTATGTTGCTCGAGGCTTCAGTCAGCTGCTCAAGTTCCTCAAGTATCTGCTCCTGCTCGGCATGAAGTTGCACAATTGATTGGAAAAAAATTGTCGGCAATGCCCCCCATGCCAGTTTCGTTAACTGTACGAGAGGAATTAAAAGCCAAACGTGGAACTGGCTCTTTCGTACCCAAATCGGCGTGATTGTCGTTGCCCCTCGGTTCTTTTAGGCTAGCTTGGTAGCGGACGAAATCTGAAGTGAGAACTAAGTATGTTCATTAAATAGAGATCAGCTGGGTACAGGGTTGTGGCTATATATAGGTACGATACAAGGCGGGTAACACTGGTGTTACTAAAAGATGCCGAGGCTCTAGAACTGAAGGGTATCAAGCCTTCTCGAATTCGGTAGACGCATTCGGTAAATAATCACGCGCACTCTAGGTAACGCGAGATAAATCGAGAAAATGGTTAAGTACGATGCACGCAATCCTATTCTGTGCTGCTGTGCAGAAACGGATATGGACGGCGTACTCTCACAGTACTAGAGTGGAAGGCTTTTGGTTCAAGTTTGCATGTGTGCGCATGTTGGTGCCACAGTTGATCCTGCTGTTGCCGTGTCCCAGGGCATCCCAGTGAGAGGGGGGGGGGGGGTGTTGCAAGACCTGCTCTGGGGATGCCACATTGATCCTTGAGAAGGGATAGAGACACTCTAGCCTGGGGGGTTATGTTTGCACTCGCCCGTTAAAAAACAAGCCTCTTTTTCTGAGTGGTTAGTCGCTGGAATTATGAGTTTTAACCTTACCAACGTCGTTAACCCTGCACCGCTACTGTAACTCCGCTTGCGACAGGCCCAGGGCTGCTTTTATCAGGGTAGTTACCCTGATTTCAGGGTGATTACAGGCTTCTCACCTGGTGGTCCTTGCAATTTCAGATTTTCTAACTTGTGAACACTGATCCATTCAGAATAGTGCTTTAGCGAACCCTGAAATATTGTATCTAGGCTCAGAGTAGTGTTCTTACTGACTCTGTCAATGTAGAGTACGCGTTCTGTGGACCCTGAATGCGAGGGTATCGGGACGAAGGCTCCCGGAAATTTCCTCCCGATACCCCCTCTTCTGCGTAATCATGATTTCGCTTGTACCCATGTGAGGAGTCCTTTTTGTACAGTTATACCGACAAGTAACACCCAGACGGGAAGGTGGGGTGGATGTTTGGGGGGAAGGTGGGGTGGGTGGGGTGGATGTTTGTGGTGTCGTGCGAGGCGCAGGGTGCTGCGGGGATTTTTGACAGAACACATCTGACACAGCAGATCTGCTGTGTCAGAGCGAATCTCTTGTCCTTGACAGGGCAAATTTCTCGTGCGAGTTTGCTCTGACAGGGCAAATCTGATGTGCCTTCAGATTCGCCCACGCGATAGCAATCTGAAGCAGAACGACATTCATGGCGGTGGCTGGAGTTAGTAAGTTGAGAGGAACGGCGTGAATGTTTGCAATGTGTGCGGAATTCTTCTAAGCACAGGCCCATTTAATCGAGAAAGGGGGTTACACCATCGCCAGTTCATACCCGTCATCGCCCGGATATAAGACAGTGTCGAATTGAAGACATGGGGTGTCGTTAAAACGGGTGTTTCTTATAGATGGGTGTTCCTGATTATAAGACAACTGTCGGTGTGTACGAGTTAGGCCAGTATAGGGATTAGGGGCAATCTTATGACTAGGGGGTATCTTCTAAACGGTTTTTTGTCCATTTATAAGAATTATAAGACACCCTCAACCGTCCCAATGGTCAGAATATTATCTTATTGTTCTAGACTGTAGTGGGGTGCTCTATAGCGAGTACAACCCTTCTAGGGTTTGCTATTTGTATCCTCATTCTTGCTAGTTCATTCCTCTTTCTTCCTTCTAATTTTGACATGCTATCAGAGCAGGTCGATCCCCTTGGATCGATCCTGTGGGTGGGTTTCCACCTCGCTTCCGCTGCTACCTTTCCTTCCCGCCGTGCGCCCCGAGGCGCGCGGCGGTTTTCTGCCCGCCGTGCGCCCCGGGGCGCGCGGCGGTTCTTTGCCCGCTCTGCGCCCCGAGGCGCGCGGCGGGCGTCTGCCCTACCGTTGTGGCCCCGCCCTGCGTCGCGGCCCCGCCCCTCGAAGCGGCCCTGCCCTACGTCGCGGCCCCGCCCCGACCGTCGCGGCCCCGCCCCGACCGTCGCGGCCCCGCCCTACAGTCGCGGCCCCGCCCTACGTTGCGGCCCCGCCCCGACCGTCACGGCCCCGCCCTACGTCGCGGCCCCGCCCGACCGTCGCGGCCCTGCCCTACGTCGCGGCCCCGCCCTGTGTCGCGGCCCCGCCCCTCGAAGCGGCCCCGCCCTACTTCGCGGCCCCGCCCCTCGTCGCGGCCCCGCCCCTCGTCGCGGCCCCGCCCCTTTTCGCGGCCCCGCCCTCCAACCAGGCCCGTGGTGGGTCCCTTTCACCACCCCGCCTCCCCCCCCCCCCTCCCCCTGCCATTTCCCGTCGTCCGTCAAGGCGACCTGAGGGGGCCGCTTGCGGCCCCCGAAGGAGCCGCGACGGGCGACGGGAAATGGCAGGGGGAGGGGGGGGGGGGAGGCGGTGTGGTGAAAGGGGCCCACAACGGGCCTGGTTGGAGGGCGGGGCCGCGACAAGGGGCGGGGCCGCGACGAGCGGGGCGGGGCCGCGACGTAGGGCGGGGCCGAGCCGGGCAGGCGCACGGGCGGCGACGGGCCGGGGCGGGGCCGCGACGAAGGGCGGGGCCGAGCCGGGCAGGCGCACGGGCGGCGACGGGCCAGGGCGGGGCCGCGACGTAGAGCGGAGCCGCGTCGAGGGGCGGGGCCGCGACGATCGGGGCGGGGCCGCGACGTAGGGGAGAAGCCCGCCGCGCGCCTCGGGGCGCACAGCGGGCAATGAACCGCCGCGCGCCTCGGGGCGCACGGCGGGCAGAAAACCGCTGCGCGCCTCGGGGCGCACGGCGGGAAGAAAACCGCCGCGCGCCTTGGGGCGCACGGCGGGAAGGAAAACCGCCGCGCGCCTCGGGGCGCACGGCGGGAAGGGAAAGGTAGCAGCGGAAGCGAGGTGGTAACCCACCCACAGGATCGATCCAAAGGGATCGACCTACTCTGATAGCATGACAAAATTAGAAGAAAGAAAGAGGAATGAACTAGCAGAAATGGGGATACAAATAGCAAACCCTAGAAGGGTTGTACTCGCTATAGAGCACCCCACTACAGGCTAGAACATAAGAATAATATTCTGACAAAACTATACTGTACAAGGCTGTGATTGAGAATCTCGCGTGCAAGTTGGCAAGGATTGACTCCCTCTGCCAACACACACAGTCAGAATGAGTCAACGTGCGCCCTTGACAGCTCATTCTGACTGGACGGGTTGCCAGTGAGCTGGGCGAGGGTGAGGGGGCATCGAAATTCAAAATGTGGGAATGAAAATGTTGAGTTTCGTTACAACGATTTCAGTAAAATTATAATAAAAAAGAAGAGGGTGGCGCTTATAATCCGTAAGCCTTCAGGGGTGTGCGTATAATCGAGGATCGGATATAAGCGCCCTCATCCTTTTATAAGCGCCGGCGCTTATCCGAGGCCTGCGCTTCTATCCGGGGGCTTACGGTATATGTCTTCTATCCGGGCGATGACGGTACAATGTGCAGTTTTTTCGCCTAACGTGGCGCCAATTTTTTTGGGGGTTGTTTCGAGGTGTTTCGCTCGCTGTCTACAAATGTACGTATACTGTGATTGACGACGAACGTGCACTGTACTTTGGCATGTGCTGAGGGTCGCAGACAACACGTGATATCGTGCAGCCAGTTCGCATGGGTGGCACATTGTGGGCCATATTCGTGGCTTTGTGGTGCCAAGTAACACTAATATGTACTTTCGGGTACACTTGTCCAGATCTTCATGGCGGGCGGGCGATCTCCAGAACCGTGCGTGATCTGACCCAACGCTTTGTGTGACTTCTGTACAGTACAATAATGGCTGCCAACTTGGTTGTGTTTTCTGTTGACTTCGACCGGCCAGGAAGTGAGGCGTGGGAAATGTGGTAATCCATGTGGGAGAAAATTGTGTGATTGACTGCAACATTGATTTCTTGCTCTGAACCCTGACGAATCAGAGTGAGACGTTGTTGGACACTGAACAATCAGAGTAGCAAACCTCTCAAAAATGTGCCCTCATAATACAGGGGGGTTTTTTTCCCGAAATCAAGGAGGCCCAAAATGATACGTCAGCCCCTTTTTTCTCTCCTCTCCACCCGTCCCCTATCACCTCTGCCCTCTCTTCCACGAATACTTCTCATCACGCAGCAACCGCACCAGATCTGCATTGAAAGGTGTGAAGAACGCCTCCAGGCACTCCCGTGTGACCCCATCCAGCTCCTCCCTCGCCATGCCTTCCGGCCGCTGGTCCACGCGCTCCAGGTCGACGATCCCTGCCCACTGCTCCTCGGCCACGTCAGCGGCGGGGAAGCCGAGGAAGTCGAGGGTTTGGGCGATGTGTGGGCGGGTGTTGGCCATGTAGTCCTCGAACCGCAGGAAGAGGAAGGCCTGGGGGTGGAAGGAGCGGAACCAGTCCTGAAAAGGGGAGGGGACGGGGGGGTGGGAGTGGATGAAGGGGACTGGGGTGTGTTGAGAGGGGCTGGTGGTGTGGCTCGGTGTGGGTTGGCCATGTAGTCCTCAACTGGAGAAAGAGAAGGCCTGTGGGTGGAAGGAGTGGAATCAGTCCTGACAGTGGGGGGGATGGGGGAGAGAGTGAGGAAAGGGGAAGGGGGAAGTGAGGGGAGGTGGGGGAGGAGGGGGTGAAGAGGGATAGCAGGGAGTGGAATGGCTTGGTGAGTGGTTTGGCCATGCAGTGTCTGAAGTGGAGGGAGACGAAGGCCTGTGGGTGGAATCAGAGGAACCTGTCAGGAAGAGGGACGAAGTGCAGAGAAAATTCCCACCTGGTCCCCCTCCACTAGCACTGTGGGTGGGTGGAGGAGGAGGAGGAGGAGGAGGAGGAGGAGGAGGAGGAGGAGGAGGAGGAGGAGGAGGAGCTAGGCAAAAGGAAGGGGGCAGGGAGTGCAGCTAGGAATGGGGGCCTCAGTGCATATCTGTCACCTCACAACACACCTGTCGCCTCACAACACACCTGTCGCCTCACAACACACCTGTCACCTCACAACACACCTGGATGAAGTAAGCAAAGAATGATCCGCACAGGTCCGGCATGTCTCTAAACAGCTTCCGCACACACGCATGCGCACCCTCCTTTTCCACACACGCACTCATGCGCGCTGTGGCATCTTGAGCCTGGGGCGGTGGAGGAAGGTGTATGGAAGGGGAAACGTGGGGGGTGGTGTGGAGAAGGGGGAAGGGGAAGGGGAAGGGAAGGGGAGGTGCAGGGAAGGGGCTTGCAAATGCCTTGCGGGAGATTTGGAAATGCATGCAGTCCTCATTGATACAAAGGACCGTTTGAGAAGCAATTGGTGGAGGGGGAATATGGAACGAAGAAAGGCAGGTGGGATAGAGGAGGAGAGTAAACAGTGAGGGTGAGGCATTCTTTCGTTTTATCTTCTGTAGTTTGGCCACGGGCTTCGGCCGCGCTGTACAGGACGACAGCACACGGTGTACAGACTGCAATCATGTTTAACATGCACATAAAACACACACACGCATTTCCTAGGGTGCTCCCAAGTCGGGAGTGACTATAGACGGACGGCCTACAGCAGCTCCATGGACCGGCGGCTCTATCTATGCTAGCCTGCCATGCACCAGGCGCCTCTGCTCCGCCCTACAACTGCCCTGCTACGCCCGCACTCTCCAAAAACCACACCACGGTCTTATCAACAAGACGAAGCACTGGCAGCCATCAACAGCATTTACAGCATTTATATGGTGGCACAACGTGCAAATAGCAGCAGGAATATTTGGGAGTGCCCAGGCGCCACCGCCGCCACCTCGGCGACTGCCAGAGCGGGTCCGAATATGGCTGCCTACGTCCCTGCGCGCGCCGACGCTGTTCCCCCCGCCTGTTCTGGCTTCCAGAGCTGCCCCCCCTTCCGACTCCGGCTCTCAATGATGCCCCCTTTTGTGGCGGAGACGAGCGCCGGAGAGAATCCCACCGTGTTGACTGCGCCTGGCTGCGACCCACCTCCAAGATGGGCCACAGCGAGGGAGATGTTGAGGGCTGCCGAGGCTACGGGCTACAGCACTCGCCGGGCAGCCGTGGGGCCTACCCGGTGAGGGGGACAGCGTTGGCGTGCGCAAGGTTACCTCACTCGTCCTCGCGTCCACGAGCCTGCCATCGCACACGGAGGCTCGACGCACGAAAACACCAGCAGCAACAGCAGTGGTGGTCACCCCTCACACTCAGAGTCACTTCCTCCTGCTCACCGGAATGGGCTACCATCTCCAATCGGTTACCCCAATTCAGGCAAGCTCTACACTGACGCCTGTGCAGAAATCAACCTTCCCCTTCTGCCACGGACCGCCACAGACATCCCTTGCCACGCGCGGCAGCCTGGCTAAGGCCTTGCAAGCCCTTGAGAGCACCCCAGTCAGCCCGTCCAACTGTGAGACTCTGGAGCCCCTCGAATCTCGTCTCCCCAACGCCATCCCCTTCCAGAATGACAGGTAACCTACCAGCCCCCAAGCTCACCTGTCATCTCCTTTTGAGACATACGGTTGCTCCTCTCCGGATGCAAGGACAGCATCGGCGCCATGGCAACTGCCATGTGCTTCAAACACCTATATGACGCCCCCTTAACACCTTCTGGCACTCGCGAACATGGCACTCACCACACGGAGGCAACCCTTGCCTTCGCCAAGCCTAAGCGCTTTTGAGGCACCTCCAAAGCCTTCACCAGACCAATGACCCTCCGCCCATGGCCAGGCCTAAGCGCTTTTGAGAAAAGTCGTTCATCACCTCATTGCAAAAGCGGCCCTCCTGATCGCTGCTTCTCAGTGTTCCCTTTGTGTGCCCACACTTCCTCCCAATCCAGTACGAAGGGGGTATTGTAGGGGCGCGGGTCAAAGCAATCATCCACTCCTCCAGAACCTACCTTGAGGAGTTCTTCCCGTCCATCCATCCACACACACACCCCGCCCTCCACCTCGGCGTCAGTAACGCTTTGAACGCCATCGAGAGTGGGGGCGGGCGGGCGTACTCAAGGGCCTTTGTCATTGCCCCCGGGAGTTCCTCATTCCCGTCACCGCATTGTCCTACAGCAGCAGCCACTCACGGGTCGTACTGGATTGGACGACACTTCCTCGACACCACCTTTAACTCAACGCCCACCTCATCAGTACCACAGGTGTTTGTTCGCCAGGGGGATGCCATGCCGTGGGCTGGGCCCCCTCTCCTGTTCGCTGCCGCCATCCACCCCAACAGTGGCCGCCTCCCACCCTACTGTCGTCATCCTGGTTGGCACTCAGGCGGGAGGCGGCGAGCCACTGCTTTGAGCTTCTTCACTCCATTGTGAGTGCTCCGCCGTGAGTGATCTGCTGCCCCCCCCAAGACTGCTCTGCTGCTTTCGACTCCTTGATATCGGCCAGCAGCCTTCTGCCCACAACCTCTCCAAATGCGAGGGATGGTGGCCCAGCCCTCAACCAAACCTGCTTCTGTCTACCTACCCGCGCCACCCTCTGCAGCAGTGGCCTGCGTGTTGTTCTCGGCGGCCCTGTGAGGTCCACAGCCTTCAGCGTGGCGTTCATCCAGCAGCGCCTCTCGATCAGATGCTAAAATCCTCTGTGTTCCAAATCAGCATCTGAAATCGTCTCCTAGGTCAACCCCCAAATCTGCCTCCTCCTTCTCTCCCTCTGCATCGGCCACGTGTCCTTTTTGCTCCGTACTTCTCCACCAAACACCCTACCTGCGAAGGAATGGTCGGAATGGGGCAAAGCATCCTACCACATCGGTGTGCCACGCCACATCAACCCCCCTGCATCGCCACCCTGGGGTTCAGTCCCGCACTTGGCGCCAGACCTCCCTCCCTCGCACTTGGAGCAAAGACGATTGTTAGAAAAGTGCGATTGGTTAGAGCCCCGACGGTGCGCTTACCAGAGAAGTTGCATAAGTCATCGAGAAGGAAGGGAGAGTGGCGCGGGAAAATTTCCGGCCAAGGAAGGCGCGAATCACCGGCGACCGGACAAGAGTCCGTTGAGATAGGAGGATCATGATACGCGTGTGCGGTTGAATCGCTCTGATACCATGTTAGAACTTGAGCTTAGAATCCATAGATTAGTAATGAGCTCAAGGTTCTTTAAGTACATTGGAAATGGGCAAGGTAAGGGTGGGGAGAGAATCGGGGACAATCCAAGGGAATTGGAGGTAATCCTAAGGCAATCTCGGTGGGTTGGAGATTGCTTGGAGATCACATTTGGGGTTTGGTTGGGATGTGGGTGTACACCCAACCAAACACAAAACGCAAACTACACTAAACTAGGATATAAAAAGTACAAGTACAAATGTGAGATTGAGGGCTAACATCAATACTGCCATGTGCTTCAAACTCCTATATGACGCCCCCTTAACACCTTCTGGCCCTCGCGAACATGGCACTCGCAGGGAGGCTCACCACACGGAGGCAACCCTTGCCTTCACCAAGCCTATGCGCTTTTGAGGCACCTCAAAAGCATTCACCAGACCAATGGCCATGAGAAAGGTCGTCCACCACCTCACTGCAAAAGCGGCCCTCCTGATCGCTGCTGCCCAGTGCTCCCTTTGTGCGCCGACACTTAATCTCAATCCGGTACGAAGGGGGTATTGTTTGTAGGTGCGGGGGTCAAAGCAATCATCCACTCCAGAACCTACCTTGAGGACTCCTCCCAATCCATCCACACACACACCCTGCCCTCCACCTCGACGCCAGTAACGATTTTAACGCCAACAAGAGAGCGGAGGCGGGCGTATTCGAGGGCTTTGTCATTGCCCCCAGGAGTTCCTCATTCCCGTCACCGCATCGTCCTACAGCAGCAGCCACTCGCGGCTCATCCTCGACACCGCCTTCAACTCAACGCCGCCCACCTCATCAGCGCCACAGGTGTTTGTTCACCAGGGGGATGCCATGTCGTGGGCCCCCTCTCCTTTTCGCTTTTGGGCTCAAAGCAGTGCCCTCCCACCCTACTGTCGCCATCCTGGCTGGCAGTCAGGTGGGAGGATGCAACTAGGTAGCGCTCTTTGGCCCCCCCAAGACTGCTCTGCTGTTTTTGACTCCTTGACTTCGGCCATCATCCTTCTGCCCAAAACATCTCCATATGCGGGGGATGCTCACCCAGCCCTCAACCAAACCTGCTTCTGTCTGCCGACCCGCGCCACCCTCTTCAGCAGTGGCCTGTGTGTTGTTCTCGGCGGTCCTGTGGGGTCCACAGCCTTCAACGTGGCGTCCATCCAGCAGCGCCTCTCGGTCAAATGATGAGCCTCTAAAACCCTCTCCCAGGTCAACCCCCAAATCTGCCTCCTCTTTCTCTCCCTCTGCATCGGCCGCATGTCCTTTTTCCTCCATGCTTCTCCGCCGAACACCCTACCTGCGAAGGAATGGTCGGAATGGGGTGAAGTTGCCTACCACATCGGTGTGCCGCGCCACATCAACCACGCGCCACCATGGGGAGCGGTCCCGCACTTGGCGCCAGACCTCCCTCGGCGCCAGACCTCCCTTGGCGCCAGACCTCCCTTGGCGCCAGACCTTCCTTGGCGCCAGACCTCCCTTCCCCGTGGCTGCCCCTTCTTGACTGTCACTACGCAATCTCAATGTGTACAGTCTTTGACAGTCCTCTGCATTTGCTTGCCTTGCTATAGGCCTTCCGAGCTCATCAATCCTAGTCGTAAGTTCCAGCCGGCCAAAGTCCGTAAACAAGGATTTGAGCCTCTCGTCTCGTCACGTCCAACTCACTCACCCACACAGGAATCTCAACTATAATGGTCTCAAGGGCTCTATTCCCGACAGCATCTCCGCACTCACGGCACTCACAATGCTGTAAGAGGCGCACTGGGTTTGCTCCACCTGCGTGCTGCTCTGTCCACTGGGTGCTGCATGCCATGTGCGCATCATTGCTGGCACTCCTCCTCTGCCCATGCACTCTGCACGCCCACTCCTTCCCACCTCTGCTGTCTACATCTCTTCACCACGCCGTGTTCCTCCCTCTTGTTGTAGTAATTCGTTCTTATGCCTTGGTTCCTAAACCTCAAAACCAGTACACCAGTTTTACTACCACGGCAAAATTCATAACTGTCACTACGCAATCTCAATCTCTACAGTCTTTGACAGTCCTCTGCATTTGCTTGCCTTGCTATAGGCCTTCCGAGCTCATCAATCCTAGTAGTAAGTTCCAGCCGGCCAAAGTCCGTAAACAAGGATTTGAGCCTCTCGCCTAACTCACTCACCCACACAGGGTTCTCAGCACTAATTCTCTCACGAGCTCCCTTCCTGACAGCATCTCTGCACTCACGAACCTCTGGGTCCTGTAAGAGGCACACTAGGTTTGCTCCACCTGCATGCTGCTCTGTCCACTCGGTGCTGCATGCCATGTGCGCATCACTGCTGGCACTCCTCCTCTGCCCATGCACTCTGCACGCCCACTCCTTCCCACCTCTGCTGTCTGCATCGCTGCACCACGCTGTGTTCATCCCTCTTGTTGTAGTAATTCGTTCTTCTGCCTTGATTCCTAATCCTTAAAACCCAGTACACCTGTTCTACTACGTCGGCAAAACTCATAACTGTCACTACGCAATCCTAATCTGTACAGTCTTTGTCAGTCCTCTGCATTTGCTTGCCTTGCTATAGGCCTTCGAGCTCATCAATCCTAGTAGTACGTTCCAGCCGGCCAAAGTCCGTAAACAAGGATTTGAGCCTCTCGTCTCGTCACGTCCAACTCACTCTCCCACACAGGAATCTCTACAATAATTCTCTCACGGGCTCCATTCCAGACAGCATCTCTGCGCTCACGAACCTCGGAGACCTGTAAGAGGCGCACTGGGTTTGCTCCACCTGCATGCTGCTCTGTCCACTGGGTGCTGCATGCCATGTGCGCATCACTGCTGGCACTCCTCCTCTGCCCATGCACTCTGCACGCCCACTCCTTCCCACCTCTGCTGTCTGCATCGCTTCACCACGCCGTGTTCCTCCCTCTTGTTGTAGTAATTCGTTCTTATGCCTTGGTTCCTAAACCTCCAAACCCAGTACACCTGTTTTACTACCACGGCAGAGCTCATATCTGTCACTACGCAATCTTAATCTGTACACTCTTTGTCAGTCCTCTGCATTTGCTTGCCTTGCTATAGGCTTTCCGATCACATCAATCCTAGTAGTAAGTTCTAGCCGGCCGAAGTCCGTAAACGAGGATTTGAGCCTCTCGCCTAACTCACTCACCCACACAGGGATCTTAGCACTACTTATCTCACGGGCTCCATTC